TGCCCAGGACTTTTTCAGCACCTGTCGCTCCCCAGAGGCCTGCTGTGAATTGACTTTGCAGGTGAGGCCTCCGCAAAAAAGGGAGGAATTTATGCCCTCCATTTGCCTCCTAGTAACCTGTCTTCTATTTCCTACAGCCACTGCGTCGCTTCCCTTTGGATGCTGCTATCATCTTCTCCGACATCCTTGTTGTACCCCAGGTACCTGCTCAAACCTGATGGGTAAGAAAGGGTAAAGATAGTCAAGGCTCAAGATAAGCACTTATCTTCACTGAACAGAGGGGAAAAGGCAAAAAAAGATGGAGTTTGGCTGAGTTTCAGTCTCCTTTTCCTTCTTGGTATGGACTAAACAGAGCCTTTCCTCCTAGAGTTACAGGTTGGGAATCCAGATATTTTCTCCCCCTCCAGGCACTGGGCATGGAGGTGACTATGGTACCTGGCAAAGGGCCTAGCTTCCCAGAGCCATTAAGAGAAGAGCGAGACTTAGAACGCCTCCGGGATCCAGCAACAGTGGTCTCTGAGCTGGACTATGTGTTCCAGGCCATCACCCTCACCCGACAGCGGCTGGCTGGGCGTGTGCCGCTGATTGGCTTTGCTGGTGCCCCGGTAATGTGGAACGTGACAGGGATTTGGGCATGGGAAAATCACTCTGGCTGGTATGATGTACACAAGGGAAGGAAGTATCAGTCTGGCTTTTACACCAGTGACATTCTCTTTGTATCCTTTTGCAGTGGAGTCTGATGACATACATGGTTGAGGGTGGCACCTCAAGCACCATGGCTCAGGCCAAGCGCTGGCTTTACCAGAGACCAGAGGCTAGTCACCAGCTGCTTCGCATCCTCACTGATGCTCTGGTCCCATATATGGTGGGACAAGTGGCTGCTGGTGCCCAGGTGGGTCCTGAGGGTGAGAAACAGGCTGGGATCTAGCAAGACAAGAAGCAGCAGAGTTCTTTAGATCTGAAGGGATAAGTGTCTTAATGCTAGGCATGAAAGAAGCTTGGCCTGCAATAATTTGGCTGGAGCCCACCTTGACGTTGACATTGATGATGCTGTATGTATTCAAAGACCAGAGCTAGCACTGGGATCTGAAGAAGGCAAAACTCTATGAATGGAACTGGGTGTATAGGCTTAGGCAGTAGGAGGGTCTGAAGTTATTAGGGAAAATTTGAGATACTTTCTGTGTGTGAAGCCTGAGATACTTCCTCTTTGTGTGTTATATATTTCTCTTTACTACCCCCAACTGTAGGCATTGCAGCTCTTTGAGTCCCATGCAGGTCATCTTGGCCCACAACTCTTCAATAAGTTTGCACTGCCGTATATCCGTGATGTGGCCAAGCGAGTGAAGGCCAAGCTGCAGGAGGCAGGCCTGGCACCAGTGCCCATGGTAAGGATGGAAAGAGTAAGTGAAGGTGGACCTGTGGAACTTTCAGGGTATTTACTGCATGGACCAAAGTGACCATTAGAGGGCAGCAGATGTGGAACCAAGATAGGTTAGTGGGCATAGCAAGGCCCCTTGTAGCCTTAGAGATCTGCCTTTTTCCTCAGATCATCTTTGCTAAAGATGGACATTTTGCCCTGGAAGAGCTGGCCCAAGCTGGCTATGAGGTGGTTGGGCTTGACTGGACGGTGGCCCCAGAGAAAGCCCGGTGAGTGATGGTGGGTGAGGTAGAGAGGGTGCAGCTGCCGTATGTGCAATCACCAGAACATGCACTGACTCTGCTTTCAGGGAACGTGTGGGGAAGGCGGTGACCTTGCAGGGCAACCTGGACCCCTGTGCCCTCTATGCATCTGAGGTATCAATCAGGGTCCCTATGTATGTCTGTGAGTTTGTGTACTCTCATGGTTGTGTGTATTACTGTGTGTGTATATGCCTTTATTATATCTGTTTGTCCCTCTATGTGAGCTCTAGGAAAGCAGGAATTCTTTTTATAGTTGTTGATTTGTGTTTTCTTAGGACCTGGCTCATACTAAGCATCCAGTAAGCTTTTTTGAGTGAATGACTGCTTGGTAGAAGCATGTCTACATGTCTATGTGTCACTATTATGTAAAGTGAGTATAGGGGCTTGCTGGCCCCCCCGTAGCCAGTGCCCTGTTGGTCCCCCAGGAGGAGATTGGACGGCTGGTGCAACAGATGCTGAATGACTTTGGGCCACAGCGCTACATTGCCAACCTGGGCCATGGACTTTACCCTGACATGGACCCAGAACACGTGGGGGCCTTTGTGGATGCCGTGCACAGATATTCACGTCTGCTTCGACAGAACTGAGCATACACGTTTTCCCTCAACGGCCACTAACAAAGATGATTGATTGTTTCCAGGAGAATAAAAATTCCAGAGTTGGAGTCTAGCATATGCTTTCATTTGTGAAAGGTCTTTGCCCTTATCCTCAGTTTCTTCTTAGCTTCTGCTCCTTCCTGGAGGCCCCTTTTTGCATCTTCTCCACAAGTCATAGGAGCTCAGATATCAGTGAATATGTATTGTAGGCTCTCACCACCATTATGCTCTCAGCATTCTAAGCATGAGAGCTAAATGGGGTTGGGTAAAATTCCTGGCAGCTGAAGCTGTGACATTTGCAGAGAAATGGGGTCCCCACAGCATACAAGGCCAAATTGACAGGGATTTGTGTCTGGGGAGGGAGGGGAGTATATATCAGAGAGGGGCACAGAATTGGCTAGAATATTTCAGAGAGGCCTGTTGAGGAAGATGGAATTTAGGTGAGCAGGGAGAAACTGAGAGGCCTTCAGCTTTGACACCAAAATGTAGGGGAGGACATAAAGACTCAAAACTAGGATGCTTAGAGGGGTGCCTGGGTGGCTTAGTCGGTTAAGCGTCCGACTTTCGCTTGGGTCATGATCTCGCGGTTTGTGGGTTCGAGCCCCGCGTTGGGCTCTGTGCTGACTGCCAGCTCAGAGCCTGGAGCCTGTTTCAGTCTGTGACTCCCTCTCTCTCTGACCCTCCCATGCTCACGCTCTCTCCCTCTCTCCTGGAAATAAATAAAACATTAAAAAAAACAAACAAAAAAAAAACTAGGATGCTTAGGATTAGAGATTTAGACCTGCATCTTTGAGGTGAGAAGGGCTCTGAAGCCAAAAGACCTATGGTGCTCAGGGTTGCTCTGCATTCTTTCCTGAGCATACACTAATTATCTCAGGACCCTGGTGTTTCTACCCATCATGGTGGTACCTAATTGATGGGACAACATCTGAGGTACCTGTGGGCTCTGGAGAGGGGTGTGTTAGGGCAGGAAATTCTTCGTTTGTCATTCTCCATCACTACTAGGAACCCACTGCATTATAGACCCAACCAATTCCTTGTCCCAGCCTGGGGCAATGCAGAAGAGAGAAAAGGGCCCCATTTATTGAGAGAACGCAATTTCTGATTTTAGAAAAATGTTATTTTCTGTGATTCATGATTTATTCATAGAAAAGCACTGTGAGTTCACACACTTGCTAAAAAACGGCAATTGTGATACGTGATACAGAAATGGGAGTGGCTTTTTTTTTTAAACCAACCTATTGGGCTGAGAGGTTGTAGGGACCCATGGCTGGACAGTAAGACTTAAGTAGCCACAAACAGTGAAAACAACTTACTGGTTACTGGAGGAAAAAAAGTGACACAGTTTGTCAAAGAAGAACATAAAGCAGACAGAGAGGTCCTTAGTTCACACTCTACCTATACCACCCCTTCCCTATCACACCCCACCCCCCCCACTCGGAAACTAAAACATGAAACAGTAAACACCAAGACACTGGCATCCAAATGACTCTTCTGAAAGCTCTTGCTACCTTCTATAACAATTCCAGGCTGAGTACAGGGGTCAGGAAGGTAGCAGGAACATGATACACTGTGGACGTCAGCTAGGGCTAAGACAGGCATTGCCCACTAGGGGTAGAAACTACTCAGAAAAGGCCAAATGCATTCCAGCCCCAGCCTCCAAAACAGTGACCAATGGGCAGGCAGAGGAAGCTTGAGGTAGAAAGGCAAGGGAAGAAAGCAAGTATAGGGCAAGAAGAGAACTGGAGCTAAAAGAGCCATTCTTAGGGTAGAGGGAGACTAGTGCTTAGAAGCTTGTTGGGTGAGAGAATGGTGAGTAAGGGAGGCAAAGAGATGAAGAATGTGTTTAGCTGGTTGGAGAGATGAAGAGGAATGGGGAAGAGAGATCTGGCAAAAAGAAATGGGACACATTCATGCAGATCCTCAAACATAATTCACAGACATACTTGCATATAAAAATATACATAGTTACACATATAAAGACAGACCAATGGAGAGCAAGCATACAAACATGTTTTTACACATGCATCAGTGTATGCACCTCCCACTAAATGTGCACTGACAAACATGAACACACAGGTATGTATTCTTACATGTTGACAAATATGCATACCCTCACACAGAAACGCACAGTCTAGCATATAGACATGTACTCACATGTACACAAACAACTGACACACACACATGCACAGACATGTATGCACAGATCTATCCATGCACACAGACACATGTACTTAGCCATACAGATACATACATACATGTAACTAGAGATAAAACCAGATAACTAACACAAAGGTGACCAGAGTAGGTAAATATGAGTATGAGCTCAGTGGCCTCCCAGACCTTCACCCTCACCCTATACTTATTTCTCAGGAGCTCAGCAGGCTCCTAGAGAGGCTGTGTGTAGCAGGGGCAAGAGCTTCACTGTCCTCAGGGCTTCATGAAGCAAGAGTCTAAGTCCAGTCCTGGCCCTGGCCCTGGCCTTCTTCCACCACTGGGCTATAGATGGCCCAAGTCTGTAGGCTGGGGTTTCTGCATAGACTGGACCTGGGATTTATTATAACTGTCCATTGTTCTCCCTGCCACCCCTACCCTTCCACTGCAAACAGTATATACTCTGCAAGGGAAACCTGAGAAATGGTTGAGTCTCCTCAGAAAACAAGCCTATCTTCCCACCCACAGCTACTTCAAGTACCCATCCAATTAGAACCAGAATTATAAATAGTTACAACTTTACAATGTAATTGGCAACACATATACTATAGTATTTACAGTACCATAAATGCTTCTGTTTCTCTGGTTAAGCAATCCCTGAGACGGAACAGTGTTCTGTGTTTGCCAAGGGAGAGTGGGCCAATGCCCAGGACACGCAGGATATAGGGGCGTGAGGTGGCATGTTGTGGGGTTTCTGATCGATCTGCAGGGCCCAGTTCCTTCAGGAACAGTGGGCTGTAGTGAGAACCTTGCCAAGGAAGGCATATTGGCTAGAGTTGGACTCTCCCATGCTTAGCCCTGTGGTCCTTTGGCTTCAGCCACAGGTGCTCAGAGTCCTCTCAGGGTGGACAAATGTTTTGGTGTCCTTGGCCTGACCTGTGGTACCTGGGAGCCCAGGCTGCCCTGGCAGTGATTGAGTCTGCTTTCTCAGCCAAAGCGCTCTCGTACCAGCAGCATCAGCTTCTTCTTGCCTTTGTAGATTTGTTTGAGGTTGTCGATGAATTGGGCAAATTGCAGGTGGCCATCCTGGGGCAGCAGGAAGGTCTCCCGAGCCTTGCTCAGAAACTCAATGAACTCTCCATAGTGGCGAGGGCTGATGTGTGTCAGGCGTGAGTGTGTAGTGTTGATATAGGCATTGATGGTGGCGTCCAGCAGCTGGCGCAGTGGAGCTTTGTCAGTGGACATGAGCTTTCCAGAGCTGCGGCGGCCTGGGATACCAGCCAGGCCAGGTGCAGTCACTGTGCAGCGCCGCAAGATGTCTGAAAGCACTGTGGCACAGTGCACACTTTTCACCACGAGGGGAATGAGGGCCGCCAGTTCATTCTTGCCCAGAGAGTGGCTGAGGGCACATGCCCAGAGCACATCATTGATGGCTGGATGGGTATCCTGGTTGTACGCCAGGTTGAGATGGCTCATGGCCAGCGAGGCCAACTTGAAGGCACGTAGCGGGTAGCCACGGAGCTCCATGTAGCGGGCAATGGTGAACAGTTGTGAATGTGTCATGCCACCAGTGGCAGCATCAATGGCGATCTGGTAGGCTGCCTCAAAGGCAATGTGGTCTTTCTCACAGAGTGTAAGGGCTGACAGGGCACAGCTCTGTGGATCCTTCATGGCACACTGTAGAGCCAGTGTGCGAGCACAGCTAGCTAGCTCCTCCCGCTGTGGATAGTCAAGACTGAGGCGCAGGATAGTGGTGTGAGATACAGCTGTGGCAGCCACAATGCTAGTAGCCTCGGTGGGAGTGAAGAGTGTGTACCAGCTCTGCAAAATGCTCACCAGGGCCCGCACACCTGTCAGGGAGAGCCTGAGCTCAGCAGTGGCCATCCAGGTCTCGATCCAGGTCTGCCCAGATTACCATTTGGGGTCAGAACTTGGCCTGCAGAGATGAGTTCTCCCTTTTCCTCAGTAGACTTGAGATGATCTGAGGTAAACTAGGGAGCATCCCGGATGGCCAGACCCTGTTTGGGGAATCTTCCCATCCCTTCCTTCCCCAAGTCAGAGGGTTGAAGATGTCTGCAGGTGCTCTTATCACCTCACAAGGATGGAGCAACAGAACCTGTCATCAACCTGCCCCAAGGAAGGGGTTGCAGATCTGCCTGGGGGTTCTAGCTGTAGTGGGGCTTCTCAGGGTAGAGTCTTAAGCTGGGACACTGGGCTCTAAATGGGGTCCTGAGCCTCCAAGTTGTCTGGGGTTTTTCAGAGGCATTGACAGGGACTGGGACCAAACCACTGGGCCAACTACTGCCTAAGGGTGCACTTGCATAAGTGGCTGAAAATTCAATCTCTCATACATGTCTTTAATCAGAGGGTCAAGGTACTGCTGACATCAGGGTATGTCTAAGCAGTGAAGGCAGAGATTGGGCTAGCTAAACAAAGGCCATCTTTCCTACCACCAGCCCCATCCTTTCCCAGGCCATTAGTAATAGCAGTATGAGAACTCTAAGGATTTGCTGTCTTGTTCCAAGAGTAGGGCCTAGGAACTCCTTTCCCCTGGGGGTAGAGGGATGTGGGAGACTCACCCACTTCTGTAGCACATGTCACCAACCACCGCACCATCTCCCGGCGCCTCCAGTTAAGAGTTGATAAGGTCATCCTCATCACCTGGGCAAAAAAGAGGCCTATCTAGTGGGCTAAGCTTAACTGTTAGGCCCTCTACAGCCCCTTGCCATTAACTGATGCAACAAGTATTTATTAGCACTTTAAATAGCCATCTCTCTTCTGATAAGTAGACAGGTTTAATTTCTGCCCCACTCCTCCCACCAATCAGATAGAAGTCTTCTCTGATGACCCATAACAAATAAAGTCCTTATTATCATACCTTGCTTGATTTGACTTGGAGGGATAAAGAGGGGGTGGGGAGAAGATAGGGACCCTATGGAGCCTAAAGTTACATTGCTTCTGGCCTCAACTTCAAAATGGAGCCCACTTTAGAGTCTTCACCTAGAGGCCTAGCTTAGAAGTTGTGCTCTGGGGACACAGAAAGAACCAGACTTGGCCTGTGCCCAGTGCCTCTGGGATCTTATCTTTACCAATTATCACTAGGCCAGAAGCCTAAAGCGAGGATGACCCACTTCTCCTCCATACCTGTAACCCCAGCTCCAAAGCCACGTTGAGCAGAGTGCTGTCAGTACTACTGTCCGTGGGAGTAGCAATCTTGAATGCGTCTTGGGCCAGTTTGAAGATGAGGGAGGAAGAATGGATGTGCTTCTGTATTGCATCCAGAATTGTTCGGAGCCTCAGAGTGTCCCCTATAGGTGCCAAGAAATGAGACAATGACAAGTCTTCTTTAAAGCCTCCCTGAACAGTCCACTGATCACATGGGTGCTGGCTGAACTGGCTGCTATCAATCCACTGAATGCTTCTGAATACTACTGTGTCTTTTGGGTAGACATGCTATGTCTCCACTAAACCTACTGGAGACTGCTTCCTTCACCATGCCCCTGCATGAATTCACTTCTCTACCTTTTCATCTGCCTCTACTCCTCACCTTTCCCCCTCAGTCTCCTTAGGTCTCAGAAATAATTTTTATGAACACTTGACTTTTGAGAGCTGCTTATATAGCAGATAGGAAGCCATATTATTGTCAAAAAAGTATGCTAGTCCCGTTGTTTGCTTCCCACAGCAGCTTCCTGGAGCAAAAAGGAGCTGGGCCACCACTTTCTATTTAGCAGGCAAGTACTAGTGCACAGACTTAAGAAATATACCACAGGAAGGGCATGTATACCATATGAAGTGAAAGTCACTGTATGAGGGTAGTACAGTATATGAAAGATTGGTGTTATCTTATGAAGGGGTAAAATGTGAAGTAAACATAGAACAAAAAGTAGGTCTTATGTTTGACAAAGAGGTGTAGCAGTAAGAGCATATAGGCTTTGGAATGATATACATTGGGAATTGAACCTAGTTCAGCCATTTACTAGCTCAGTTACTTTATGCATAAAACAGAAACAACAGCCTTTAAGGTTGTGGTGAGAACTGTAAGCAACTTGTATATAGTTAATATTCTATGATCCTACTTTTGTAAAAGAAAAAAAAAAGGTAAGTAGCAGTGTGTGTGTGCATGTGTGTACAGCATGTGTGTGTGCATATACACAATTAGAAAATCTCCAGGAATATTTATACCAATGTCTTAGTAATAGTTATCTTTTGATGTCAGAATTATGGGAGGGAGTACCTTTCTTCTTCTGTCATCTTTAAAAGCAATTTTTAAAATTAACAGACTTCATGTTTAGGCAGTTTTAGGTTTACAGAAAATTGAGCAGATAGTACAGTACAGTTCTTATATAATCTGTCCCCACATTCAGTTTCCCCTATTATTAATGTCTTACATTAGTGTGGTACATTTGATGAACCAACATTGACATATTTTATTATTTGAAGACCATAGTATATATTAGGCTCCACTGTGTTATACAGTTCTCTGGGTTTTAACAAAGGCATGGTATCATGGGCCCATCATTACTGTACAGAATAGATTCATTGCTCTAACAATCTCCTATGCTCCACTATTTCATCCTTCTCCTCATTCCCCCTGAGAATACTGTTCCTTTTTTTTTTTTTTTTTTTTGGTTTCTACAATTTTACCTTTTCCACAATCTCATACACTTGGAATCACAGTACATAACCTTCTAGACTGGCTTCCACCAACCAATACACACTTAAGGTTCCTCCATGTCTTTCTGTGTCTTGAAAGCTCACTTCTTTTGTTGGTAAATATTGCATTGTATGAGATGTATATCTATCTATTCACCTTTTGAAGGACATCTTGGTTGCTTCCTGTTTTTGGCACAAATAAAGCTGCTATAAACATTTGCATGCAAGTTTTTGTGTGGACATAAGTTTTCAATTCATTTGGTAAAATATCCAGGAGCATGACTGCTGGATCAGATGGTAAGGCTATATTTAGCTTTGTAAAAAAAAGTCAAACTGTCTTCCAAAATGGCTGCACCTTTTGCATTCCCACAAGTAACGAGAGTTCCTTGTTGCTCCACATCCTTACCAGTATTTGGTATTGTCAATGTCTTGGATTTTAGCCATTCTAATAGGTATGTAGTGGTATCTCCTTTTTGTTTTAATTTTCATTTTCCTAATGGCATATAATACTGAACATCTTTTCACATGCCTGTCATCTCCATATCTTCTTTAGTGAGGCATCTGTTCAGGTCTTTTGCCCATTTTTTTTTTTTAAAGTGCTTTTATTTTTTAATGTTTATTTTTGAGAGACAGAAGAGAAGCTGGGGAAGGGCAGAGAAGCTGCTCTGGAGATGAAATCATTACCTGAGCTGAAGTTGTACACTTAACTGACTGAGCCACCCAGGCAGCTCAGTCTTTTGCCCATTTTTAAATTCAGTTGTTTGTCTTATTATTGAGTTTTAAGAGTGATGTGTGTGTCTGGGATACAAGTTCTTTTTGTAAATATTTATTTATTTATTTTGAGAGAGAAAGAGAGAGAGTAGGGGAATTGCGAGTGGGGGAGAGGCAGAGAGAAAGGGAGAGAGATTCCCAAGCAGGCTCCATGTTCAGCACTGAGCTTCACATGGGGCTTGATCTCGCAATTATGAGATCATGTTCTGAGCTGAAATCAAGAGTCGGACACTCAACTGACTGAGCCACCCAGGTGCCCCTGGGATACAAGTTTTTTTTATCAGATAAATGTTTTACAAATATTGTCTCCCAGTCTGTGACTTGTCTTTTCAGTTTTGTAACAGTGTTAATCACTGAGCAGAAGTTCTTTTTTTATTACATAGGTTTCAGTGGGTACTTATTTTTGAAAGAGAGAGAGAGAGAGAGAGAGAGAGAGAGAGAGAGAGGAGAGAGGAGAGAGTAGGGGAGGGGCAGAGAGAGAGGGAGATACAGAATCCAAAGCAGGCTCCAAGTTCTGAGTTGTCAGCACAGAACCCGGCACTGGGCTTGAACTCACGAACCGTGAGATCATGACCTCAGCCAAAGTCACATGCTTAACCGACTGAGCCACCCAGGTGTCCCAGAAGTTCTTCCTTTTAATTAAGTCCTACTTATTGATTTTTTCTTTCATGCATTATATTTTTGGTATTGTATCTAAAAAGTCATTGCCAAATCCAAGGTCCCTAGAATTTCTCCTATGTTATCTTCTAGAAGGTTTATAATTTTATGTATTACCTTTATGCCTTTGATCTATTTTAATTTTTATGAAAGGTGTAAAGTAAGGTCAGTGCCTATATTTTTTTTTCTGCAGGTGGAGGCAGTTTTTCCAGTCCCATCTGTTGAAAGGACTATCTTTTGCTCCTTTGTCAAAGATCAGTTTACTATATTTGTATGAGTTTATTTTTGAACTCTCTATTCTGTTCCATTCATCTAGCTGTCTACTCTTTTGCCAATTCCGTACTGTCTTGATTACTATAGTTTATAGTAAGCCTTGAGGTTGGGTAGTGTTAGTTCTCCAGCTTTGTTCTTCAGTACTGTGTTGGCTATACTATGTCTTTAGCTTTCCATATAAATTTTAGAAAGAGTTTTTCAACACCACAAAGTAACTTGCTGGGATTTTGGTTGGGATTGTATTGAATCTATAGATCAACCTAAGAAGAACTAACATAATAATAATATGGAATCTTCCTATCTATAGATGTGGAATATCTATTTATTTAGATCTTTGGTTTCTTTCATTAAAGTTTTATAGTTTTCCTTGTATAGATCTTACACATATTTTGTTTGATTTACTAAGTACTTTTGGAGGAGTGCTAATGTAAAAATATATTGTTTTTATTTTTATTTATTTATTAATGTCTTAATGTTTATTTATTTTGGGAGAGAGAGAAAGCGAGTAGGTGAAGGGCAGAGAGAGAGGGAAAGAGAATCCCAAGCAGGCTCCACACTGTCAGTAAGAAGCCCGATGCAGGGCTTGACTACACCAACTGTGAGATCATGACCTGAGCTGAAATCAAGAGTCAGACACTTAACTGACTGAAACACCCAGGTGCCCTGTAGATATTCTTTATAAATTTAAGTTGGTTCTTTTTCTTTTTAAATTTTAAATAATTTTCTATTTTTTAATTAAAAAAATTTTAAATGTTTACTTATTTTTGAGAGAGCAAGACAGAGTGGGGGGGGCGGGCAGGGAGAGGGAGACACCGAATCTGAAGCAGGCTCCAGGCTCTGAGCTGTCAGCACAGAGCCCATTGTGGGGCTCGAGCTCACGAACTGAAAGATCATGACCTGAGCTGAAGTTAGACGCTCAACCAACTGAGCTATCCAGGCGCTCCAGTTTTTAAAATTTTTATTTTAAGTGGGTTCCATGCCCAACCATGGGGCTGGAACTCACAACCCTGAGATCATGAGTTGCATGCTCCACTGACTGAGTCAGTGAGGCACCCTCTTCTATTCCTGGTTTGCTGAGTTGTTGTTTTTGTCATGAACAGGTGTTGGATTTTGTCATATATTTTTCTTGCATCTATTGATAAAATCCTATAATCTTTTTTCTTTAGTCTGTGGATGTGATGGGTTACATTAATTGACTTTCAAGTGCTGAATCAGCCTGCATATCTGGACTATATCCCACTTTTAATGGTATATACTTTTTTTATACTTCATTGGATTCAATTTGCTAATACTTTGTTGAGGATTTTGGTACTTATATTCATGAGTGATATTAATCTGAAGTTTTCCTTTCTTGTCTTTATCTGGTTTTGGTATTAGAGTAGTGCTGGCCTCATAAGATGAGTTAGGAGGTGTTCTCTCTGCTTCTATTTTCTAGAACAGAGTGTAGAGAATTTGTATCATTTATTCCTTAAATATTTGATATAACTCACAAGTGAAATCATCTGGGCTAAGTGCTTTCTGTCTGAAAGATTACTGATGCAATTTCTTTAACAGATACATGCCTATTTAGATCATTTATTTCTCCATATGTGAGTTTTGGTAGATTGTGTTTTTCAAGGAATTGGTCCATTTCATCATTGAAGATAACAAATTTGCAGAAATACAATTTCACGATTTTCCTTTATCATCTTTTTCGTGTCCAGGGGACTCCTGTATCATTTATGATATTAGTAATTTATATTTTATCTTTTTTTCTTGGTTAGCCTGGCTAGAAGCTGGATCAATTTTATTGATATTTTTATTTTATTAGAAATTAAAAAAGGGGCACCTGGGTGGCTCAGTCGGTGAAGAATCCAACTTATGCTCAGGTCATGATCTCACAGTTCATGAGTTTGAGCCCCGCACCGGGCTCTGTGCTGACAGCTCAGAGCCTGGAGACTGCTTCAGATTCTGT